TACCTCTAAGACATTTTTGTTTTCTTGACCAACAAGGAAATAGGACATTTTAAAGAAGACAGCCCATATTAAATGGAGGGAAAGTAACTCTCTAAATTGAAATTCAATGTAATCACTTTTTTTATTGCAATATAATGCTCATACCATAAAATTTACTATTTTAAAATATACAGTTTAGTGGTTTCTAGTATTTTCACAAGGTTATGCAACTACCACTACTATCTAATTCCAGAATATTTTCATTGGTCCTAAATGAAACCCCACACTGTTTAGCCCTCGTGCCCTATTCACCCCACCCCCTACCCCTGCCAGCCACTCATCTGTTTTCTCTCTTCGTCTGTTTTAAATGCTGACTTTTAACAAATTAACACTAACTACAATGTGTAAAATTTCCTTTGGAAATAATGTCAGAAGCTTATGTTGGAGACATGACTGGTGGTTCTCCCAGCTCCTCCAGAGCAGACTGGCTGGTTTAGGGCATCTTTACTTCCCACCATTTTCAGCTGGGCTTACCTGGTCCTGTGCTCTCCAGGGCAGCAGATGTCTTTTAAGTACCATCTGTGTGCCCAGCACTGTTCTAAGAGTTGTCGCCTTTGTGATAATAACCGAGAGCATCTCAGACCTCAGAGGACTTACAGTACAGCAAAGAGCAAGAAAAACAGGACAAAAGTCCCCAAAGGGACACAGCTCAGTATCACGGTGGTGGTGGTAGTAGGGTGGTATCAAAGAAGGCAGAGAAAAAATGCCCATCTGGGAGCATGGAGGAGGTCCTTGTGAAGAAAATGGTGTTTGAGGTGGCCTTGAAGGAGAAGTAGAGTGACAGCAGCCAACATGGGGGCAGTGAGATGCATGTGGCAAAAGGAGAGAGCCAGAAAAGCATGGGAGTGTCAGGAAAGGAGAAAATAGCACATTGAGGCAATGGCATGTGAGCAAGTCCTGAAACGGACTGGGACACTGATATGGGGAGCTTTCAGAGCCAGGGAGGGACGTGTCCTCTTAATCTCTGGCTTTGTGTTGCATCCGGACGTGCATCTTTCTCAGTTCCACAGATAAGACATCCTATGTTGTAAGCTAACTTGCATCCGTGTAACTTGCCGCTACAGCCAGATTCTTGCAGAGTGGCCACCCCGGCCCTCCCTCAATTTCTTTGTATGCCCCCACAGATGTGGCACCCTGATTTGTGTGCTAACAGCTATTTAATACAGACTTATCCACCAGGGGAAATTTCTTTGTATGCCCCCGCAGATGTGGCACCCTGATTTGTGTGCTAACAGCTATTTAATACAGACTTATCCACCAGGGGAAATGTCCATTCCCATGTTTTGAGCTTCTTCTCCATAGTAAGTTACCACCTTGTCGTGTGGGACCACAGGGTGTTGGCACAGGCAGAATAAGTGAAGGCATCGAGTCTACAAGCATTTGTTTGGAACCTACATGTGTCTAGCACTATGGAAAGCACAGTAAGGGGCAAACAAAGTATGGAGAGTGCACTTGGCCCAGGAAGGGTTTCCCGCCTTCACAGAGAGACTTGAGTTTACCACCAGAAACAGCTGGGGAATCATGTAATTCGGTTTCACTCAATTCCTGCATTGTTGGTGTCAGAGCCTTCATGGAAGAGGTGGGACTTGTGCTGAGCTTCAAAGCATTGGTGTGATTTTACAAATAGGAGCAAAGAGGGCTTTCTAAGTGAGGACAAGAGCAAGAGCCACGTCCTAGAGGTAAGAAAGAGAGAAGTGCAATGGGACAATAAAATGATTGCCTCACCTGAAGGGAAGTTAGATTTGAACAGAAAAGGCGACAAGCTTGGATATGTAGGTTGGAGCCAAACTATGCAGAGCTTGGAGCACCAGAACAAGAACAAATCAATAGTTTATGTAGGCCGACTGGAAAATGACTTGATGCACATTTTTAGATTAATCTGTACAAGAATCTGTGTGTGCAACAGCACAGCTCAAATCGCAGCGAGAGTGAGAACCGCCTGGGCTTCTCGTTCAAATGCAGATTATGATTCAGTAGGTCTGGAGTAGGGCCTGAGATTCTGCATTTCTGACAAGCTGCCAGGTGATACTGATTGTGTCAGTTTGCAGACCCCACTGAGAAGCACCAATTCAGAGCATGGTTTAGAGAGGGGAGGACATCTGGACAATCTCATGTCTTTGTTATGGAAAAGCCATCATGCTGGCAGGAGGACGAAGGTAAAAGGAAGGAATGTGAAGTCGCCTGCGGCAGGCAGAGCCGGCATTCAGGAGCTCACTAAAACACCCTGCCCCAGGCCATCATCTTGACAAGCCTGGCTAAGTAGCCAGTGGTCAGGACTTATTGTAACTACCCCAGAGAATGTGCCACCTCGGGTTCATTAAGCACCAGCTGTGGGATCACCCGTTTTCCTCTTGGTTCCTCAGCCAACTTCTCCCAGTTTGCGTTCGAGTCCGTGGTGGCCATCGCCAACAGCCTGCACAACAGCAAAGACCTGAGCAAGGACCAGCATGGCAGGAACTGCCTTCTGGCCTCCTATGTGCACTACGTCTTCCGCCTGCCGGAGCCGCAAAGGGACCTGCCCAAGTCAGGTAGCCTTGCCCCGGGCATGGGAGGCTGGCAGCCAGGGCACCCCACTGCGCCCCACAGCCGTGTAATTAAAAAACCCCATAAAACCCAGAAGTTCAATTTGATTTCTCAGAATGACACAAAACTTACATGAATGCTGAAATTAAAAGAGTTTCTTTCTAGATTTTTCCTCCTTTCTGCCTTTTTCCTGCCTCCTCCCCTCTTTTTATGCTTTAAGCACTTGTCTGCCCATTTGATAATCCCTCACTGGTCTTTACCCAGTTGCTAATTTACAACTCAGCTGAGG